GTTCTTTTACATCTTTGGTTAGGTTAATTCCTAAATATTTTATTTTTTGGGAGGTTATTGTGAATGGGGTTGCTCCCTTTATTTCCCTCTCTTCCTGTACATTATCAGTGCACAGGAAGGCAACTGATTTTTGTGGGTTTATTTTGTATCCTGCTATTTTGCCCAAGTGATTTATGATTTCTAAGAGTTACAATAACAATTTTTTTAAAAACCCTTTTGTCATAAGCAGTGTGACAGTATGTAAATATCAGGTGTCCATCTCCTTGGCTAGCTCCTCTTAAATACCTAAGAGCCATGATTCTTCTCGCTTTCTTTTGTCAGTCATGGGGCTTGAACTCAGGGCCTGGGCCATACTTTTTTCCTCTGCTCCTGCTTTTACCTGCTCCTTCTATCACATGACATTCCCCTTTCTCTTTCTTTTTCTCTGGATCTGTCTGACTGCCTGTCTTCTCTCCCATTCTTTCTAAATTTCTCCATCATAGAGAAATAGGGCTTCTGTTTGCTAAGAAGACTCAGTGGTAGTCATTTCCTTTCCTTGCTGCTCTGCCTATGGAGAGGAAGGATCTGTCCCAGAAAACTGCTAGAAGGATGAAATGAGATGTTCCGTGAAAGCCCTTGGAATGATAGAAAATGATGATGTCAGTGAGCCCAGAGCCTAGGGAAGTACCCATGTTCCCAGGGCCCTCCCACTCAGACTGGCGGTGCGCTGCCGGCTGGGGCTGAGCCTCAGGTTCACCTGTAAGGTATGAATAACAGTAGCACCTATTTTACAAAACTTGCAAAGGAAATCAAATGAAAAAGAGTATGTAAAATACCGGACATGTGACCTGGACTATAGAAAGTGCTCCATATTGGTCATTGCTAGTTTTCATCTTTTAGTGCCATTTGATCATTGTGGTTTATCAATTATTATTTCCATTGTACAGACACACTGAGAGCTTAGTCACTGAGTTCAGTAACATAATCTCAATCCCTGAACTAAGTCAAGAGCTAAGATTCATCTTCTGGCTCCTAAAGTCAGGTCTTGTCTTCGTGGCTTTCATGATGGGTCAGTCTAAAGTACCTAATGCATGGCCTCTAGCTGTGACCTAGGTCTCATAATGGGTTAGTACCTCAAGGGTAGTATTTTTTGGGGGGGGGCTTTTACCTTCCTACGTGTGCTTTGTAACTAAGAACAACCTTCCTTTCTAGCTGACATGTTTTCCCATGAGGAGAGTGGCCCTGAGCCAGACTGGGTTTTGTCAGAACGGGAGCAGTTCAATGACTTCCGGGATCAGAACAAGGATGGGAAACTGGACAAGGATGAGATCCGACACTGGATCCTCCCCCAAGATTATGACCATGCGCAGGCAGAAGCCAGGCACCTGGTGTATGAGTCAGACAAAAACAAGGTATTCTGCTTTTTGCTATCACATTGACCGAAAGGAGACAGTTTACGTAAGATTGGTGTTACTTGCTTCTTTGGCGACAGCAATGGCCAGTGTGGCTGTATCCCTGTTGATGTTTCTTGCCCTACAGTAGAGACCTGGAAACAATAGCTAATACCATGAAGGCCCACAGTGAACTCTAGGCTTTCCTAAATAGAGCTAGCCATGGGCTATAAATGTAAATGAAGTTACCCAGTTAAGACTAAAGAACCACTCACTTGGTCTGATGTGGGCGGGACACGGATTGAAGAAGTAAGCCTCGCCTGTCCTAAGTATACTCATCCATTTACACACCGGAAACTTTTCAAACTTTGCAAGGAAGCCCATCCCACTTGAGAAAGGAGAGCTCCTTGGAGCCAGACAGGCTCAGGCAAGCTTCCTTCTCTAGAGCCAAGGCCAGCACTTCCCAATTATCAAATAAGCAGGAATGTGGGTGCAGCCCAGTCATAGAGCATTTGCCTAGTATGTGGAGGGTCCTCAGCTAAATCCTAAAACACTGAAATAGATGATGGATAGATGGATGGAGCAGCTAAAATCTATAAGTAAGATTAAGACAAAATTCTTCTACCTCATCCCACTTTGCAGTTGCCACAAGGTCCCCAGAGTACAGACAAGTTTGGCCCTCAAGGCAGTGGGGTTCCTCAGGGTTGCTTTGGGAACACCTGCACTGCTTGTAGATATTAATGGATTCCAGCTTCTGAGTCACCCAGGTACTGAGCCAGGACCTTTTACAGCATGAAGTTATGCCATTTTGGAGGTGTGCAGCACGTAACTGTAGAGGAAACATTTTAAATCAAAGATATAACAAATGTCTCACCAAACAACAGGTTCATGCTTACCTGGCCTCCCGTGATGGCTCTTCCCTCTTTTCACAGGATGAGAAGCTAACTAAAGAGGAGATCTTAGACAACTGGAACATGTTTGTTGGAAGTCAAGCTACAAATTACGGGGAGGATCTCACAAAAAATCACGATGAACTTTGATGGACATTCATTATAATGAGGCAGACTGTCTAAGGTCTCTTACTGTCTTGGGTGGTTGCTATTTTCATCTGATTTACAGCAATTGTATCCCTAAAAAAGCATTATACCTCAGATTGGGGTAAAAAAATTATTTTTCACTCCATATTTACTGGAAAGTGATCCTCACTTTTTTTTTCAGTAAGATTTCTAAAAACACATTAGAATCATAGCAAATTACAGTTCTCCATGGGGATACATTGCTACAGTATGACTTCCAAAGAGTTATTGTTTTTTTTCCCACTAAATGTAAGTAAAAGGGTAATGAAACTCAATAAAGTTCTGCTACTCAGAACTTTGGGGGGGGGCGGTAGCATATAGGGTGACTGCTGTGTATGTGAACTATCATATTTAAAAAAATATTTACCACTGTTAAACAGTCAGTGGTATTTCCTTAGACTTATTTCAGAGCAAGTCTAAGATTTTTGATTCTTTCTTGACCTATTTTGAACTGTTACTATAAGTGGTATACAAGTCTCTGTGCATTTTTCTGTAGGTGCATAATTAATCCACATTTTTGTTTGCTGTTTTTATAAAAAGCAATCAAAAAAGATAATGTGAACAAGGAAGGAATTTTAGAGGTAGGGAAATGATGGAGGTCGGGCATTTGAAGAATTATACCAATATGGAGAGACCTTTAAGTATTTTTGAGAAGATTTTCTTTACATGGAAATGAGGTAGACCTGATCTTTGAAGTAGTGGCTAGAAATATAATCCATTTCCTCAGTGATTCTGAATTGAAATGAAGGTGTGAGATTCTAAGCTATTCATCCAGTGAACTCACATCCTCAGCTCCACCTCAGGACGGCTTACACTATAGAAGTGGGACAAAGTGATGTTCTGAGCCTTTGAGTGAATGATAAGAAATGATCTATTGGAAACAATAAAGGATCATCTTGAGGATTTTCTACTGTGTCCTGTTGTGTTTGACCTCACTGATACTATTCGTGACAGCATTTTTCATAAAGAAATGGAGAGGTAAGTTGTGATGAACATGATTGTAAAGGATCTGGGGCCCTTAATGCATTTACTAGCATGTTTGGAATATAATCTGTATTTACTCCTTACTAAAGGCATACCATTTTTCCCTTTCTATGTATCTACAGGTTGTGTTTTGGTTGTTTCGGTGGTCCTGGGGTTAGAACTTGTTGCCATGTGATTGCTAGGCAAGTGCTCAACTACTTGGTCCACACCTCCAGCCTTTTCTGCATTTAGGTTTTGATTGTGCCCAGGGCCATCCCTAAGTCTTAGTTCTCATCTATACTTTCCACGTAGCTGGTATTATATGTATGAACCACCAGGCCAGGTTTGTTAAGAAGGGGGTCTTGTTAACTTTCTTATTTTTTCCTGGGCTGGATTCATGGGTATATCTTTGGGGGACACCATTCCATCAGTGACACCACCTGACATCTTGTTTGCACATCATTCCTGTGCTCCAAGCTGGAATGCAAGCTTTATGAGAACACCATTCATATCACATCAGCTGCTCTTTCCTAGGATCTAGCACAGTAGAGTGTCGCTTCACTCTATCATTATTTGCTGAACAAATGGAACTTTGATAGTTGTAGCCAAAGAAAATATCCTCGCTAACATTTGTAGGATAGAAAGTTACACAGTGTGCCCAAGATGCTACAATGATTGGATAGCGGAGGAAGACTTCAAATCTAAAACTCGTGGTTTTCACACATATCTTCTGTTCCTTTGTTGACCCCTAACATGCTTATATGGTCAGGAAATGAGAATAAACTCCTCTTACCTGGAAATGTGTGGGAGACTTCTCTTTTGTCAGACAATAAATGTCTGTCTTTAGGGAAATAGAAAATAGTGTCATAGCCTGGCTCTGATAGTTCACACCTGTAATCCTAGCCACTCAGGAGACAGATCTGAGGATCAAGATTTTTGTAGTCAGCCCTGGAAGAAAAGTCCCTGAGTCTACTTTAAAAAAAACCATGGAGGTGTGGTTCAAATGGTAGAACACCAACCTTGAGTGGAAAAACCAAGTGAGAATTAAGAGGCTGAGTTCAAGCATGACTCCTAGTACAACTAAAGAAAAAATAATAGTAAAAGTAACATGCAACTTGAATAAGCACATAACTACAAGGTGTGTTCACATTGTTTCTCTGCAAAAGGTGATCATTGTTGCTGTATTAAGTTGCCCATAGTGGGATACTAGATGTATTTGGAGCATTGTTTTTCCTCTCAAGTCGGTGCACAAAGAAGAATAACTCTGGATGAGATTTGAATTTAACACAATTTAAAGAAAGAAAACCTTAGCCAGGGGGGTGTCATTGTTAACATGGTGATTCATAAAACCTTAGATTTCTAATGAGGTCTGACTTTTGCAAGGAAAACAGATTTTGTTTCGAGGTAATATTTCAGTTCTAATTATGAACAAATGGTATAAAATTGATTTGTAATGGAAAATACTGTAATGTCACAAGACATTATTTAATGCTTAATGTGACTGAAAGCACTAATTGCTCGCAGCCATATTCTGTCTAAGCAAGCCATGAACACATTTTTACTTCTCGCCTCTTACTGTAGGTTTTTGAATGAATCCAAATGTCACCAAAATGGTTTGAGAAAATCTGCAATACCTGAAGGTTTTCTTGACCTGCTTGGATTTTGGAGTTGGTCTCTTGTTAATAAACATACCAGTCATAGGTACTCAGAGATGCCCAGCAAACAGGAATGAAGTGAATACTTGTTAACAGCTCAGCCCAAATACCTTGTAGGATGACACAGTGGCTGAAATTTCTCTTTTTAAATCATCCTAGATTTATTTAGCCACCTTTATAACATCCTGGCTTTCTCTAGGACCATGCATTTGAGAATTGGCCCTGTCCAGAGTCATAAACAGTTTTATAGTGCTAGAATTTCTCTCTAAAACCCAATGAGTGTCATAACATTCACTGCTTTGGCTCACACCAAAGTATTAAAAATTGGAGCCCTGGAAAGACTACATCATCAGCATGTAAACTTCTAAAATTGACCAAACTTGAAAGTTATTTCCAAACTAACTATCCCTACTCAGTAGTACTGAATCTCAGAGGGCATACAAACTAAGCAAATTATATCTAGTTTGTCCCTTGTCCCCTTACCTACCTTTGTCATTTTTCTCACAGAAGATAGAAAACACAATCTAGGACTGGTAGACCACAACCTATGATCCCCATTACTTGGGGAAGTATAGACAAGGATTATGGTTCAAGCCCCACCTTGGCAAAGTTAGCACAGTATCCTCCCTGTCTGAAAAACAAGCTGAGAGCAAAAGAACACAAGAGAACTCTAGTAGCAGAATGCTTGATAAGCAAATGTGAGGCCTTGAGTAAAAAACATACAACTCCCCACAGAAGTGCCTCCGAGAAAACAAATGTAACTGCATATTTTCCCACCTTGAAGGCACGTGTATAATGGGTGAATATGAGCATTTCATTTCCAGGATAAATACTAATGGGAGTTCCAAAAACAGGGCCTACTGACATTTCTCATGCAGCCTTCATAATCGTGGCGGGAACTTGCAAGAAAGTCTAAGCTGGCTTATTGCTGCTATAACATACAGCCCTACCATCTCAAGGGTTTAAAGCGACAAGGGTTTAATGTTGGTTTCTCCAAAGCCAGCTGTGGTTGGCCACGGTCCATGGCAGCAGCAGTGTAGGGGCTAAGCAATGCATTCTCCCACCTGTGCCCACTGCAGAGCCAAACACAAGCTATAGACCGCCATCACTCATCATCACTGCATCGCTCATGCCCACTGGCCCCGAGTAACTCGAAGAGGGGAAGAAGGGTGTGATCCTACTGCTGAGAGCATTGTTGAGCGGCATCTGTGGTCACCATGGAATTACTTTCCCTATGTCACTAGTTGGAACAGTAACAGGCCATAATGTGATTGTCCTATATAGCTCAGAAAGGTGATGCTGGAACTGTTTGTCCAGATATGTCCCAACATGTCCAGGACGTGTTTGCCATAGAAAGGGAGCATTTGAAGCAATATCTACAGAAACTCCCAGGCCCTCTTTCCTCTCCAGAGTGGGATTTAGAGAGATTCATTCATTTCTTCTCAACCTATGCTTCATGGCTCAAAGGGTTCTACTGCCCCAAACTGTGCCCCTTCTAGGATCCATAGGATCCTAGAATTCATGCTCAAATGGCCGCGTTTACCCTCTTCCCCAAAACATGTTCCAAAGGTCAAAGTGGCAAGTGGATGCATCTCTAGTTCCAAAGTACGGCCAATGAGCAGCAGACTTTGGGGTGGACTCTGACTATGTAAGCTGGTGTGCCCACACACACTTGCTGTGTTTTTAATTTGTCTCTACAAAGCCACATGCCAGAGCCTAAGACAAGCATGACAGCATTGAGAGGTGACTTTTTTTTCCTAAAAGGAGATTGTCAAAGGATCAGCACTCTTGTAAAAGGGAGAGAACAATCTAGCGGGGCCCCTTTTTGCCTGTCTACTTTTCCACCATGTGAATACCCAGCAACAAAGATACCATTTTGAAAAATGGTCCTGGCCAGACCTTCTTAAAAATTGCCTAATAATAAGTATTTCTTTGTACTTTTTTTTTATGTTTTTGGTACTGGAGATTGAACTCAGGGCTTGAGCTTGTTATTCACTCTTTCACGTGAGCTACAGAAGGCTACAGCTCTGGACTATTTCACAACAGCAGCAGGAACAGACTGAGACACGTGCAAACGGGGCCTATTTGTGAGAAGAAAAATGGTGGAGTGATCCATAGACTTTACTATTTTTGCTCCTACCCTGTGACCCACAAGAATTAGGAGAGGGTCTGCCACAATGCTGGGACAACCAATACAATCCTGGGAGAACTAAGACATGTGAGCTTGTTTACAAGGCAACTACTGGAAATTGTAGTCTCAATAATGGTGAATCTCGTTTTCTTAATCATGCAGTATAGTACCTGGGATATAAGAACCTCTTAGTAAAACCACCATTATTATCACCGCAAATTTTGAAACCTGATGGTGGAACATGGTATAACATAAACACTCAGGATCACTTTGATGAGACGGGGAGTTGTGGCATAGAAAGATTGGTTAAAGATCCAACTGCATTCAGGTTCTAGCTTGGCCAGCCAGGAGTTCCATGGTCTCAAGAGGTCACCTTCTTCCTGAGGAGCCTGTTTTGATTGCATAGTAGGGATTATAGTATAGTAATAGAAGGAAAAAAGGAAGGAAGAGGGGACAAACAAAGAGGAGGAAGGGGAAGAGTTGGTGTTCCTGAAGAAGTTACAACACACTATCTACCGCTGAGCATTATTTTGTAGACAAGGTGAACTAATACATGTACAAGAGCCTTAAGGAAGTGAAGCGCAAATACTGCTTCCTACTCACCTTCGTGAGCAGGTCAAGTGCCAGAGGTCTGTCAGATCAGAGCTGGAAAACACTGAGCTAATAAATCTTCCAAGCTTTAGAATTACTGTGTGAAGTGTTTTTTTTCCCCCCAGATCTCAAAATCTATCTAGGCAAAATCAAATGTCCTTCATGGCAAAGGAATCACACTTGATATTTGTCTAGCAAGAGTGGGGAAGCTTTTAGCCACCAAAGACATCTGAATATTTATAACATCATCTTGGGGCCATAAAGAATGTCACTACAAGCAGATGGCTGCAGGCAGATGACAAGAAGCATATGAAAAGTAAAAGTGTCTATCTCATCATAGAACACAGGCTTTATAAGGCCCTCAGAGGGCAGGATGGTCCCTACTCCTGCATGACGGGAGTATGCCAAAGCTAGCCATATGTGGCAGGAATATGAAATTCAATTCCATAGCAGACTGAGAGTCTTTTGAATTTCATGTGGCCACTATGGATCATGTTTTCCAGATGGGGAAACTGAGGCTCATGATGATTAAACCCACACTTTTCTCTGCCAAGTTAAGGCTGAGGCAGACCTGGGACTAGAGTCCTC